AATTTGATTTGCTCGCACCATCAGGGTTTAGCAGGCTCTGAAATATAAAGTGTATGGGCCAGGGATTTAGCTCAGTGGTTCCACTACCTGTCTCACAAGTGCAATGTCCTGAGTTCAATCTCCGGTACCAAAAAGAAAAAAAAAAAAATAGTGTAGATTTGATCAGTGTTTCTGTTTAAGTACCACAAAACTGCCCAACTTGAGATAATTATGAAGTTATGCACCCGTAAAGGACATTTTGGTTCTTAAAACTCAGAATTAACTATTGGAAAAATACAATTATTAATCTGTTTCTATACTCCTCTCCAATTACTTGCCTCAATCACCCAGGCCAGAACAAGATGTAGATCTCAAAGAGGAGTTGTAGATGTTTCATTGTAACTAGCCATAATCTGACAATGTTCATTGGCAAAAAAGTTAGGACCCAGAAATGGAAATTGAAAAAATTTAATAGTTCAAGATGACCAGATTCCATTAATTTTTTTGACTTATACTAATGCTGGCATATATAAAAACTTTTAAAACATAATGTACATAAAGTATCGTGTTGATTAGGATCTGTCCCAAGTGTCAATTGGTGATAATATTGGTCTATAAACTCAAGCAAAGTTAAGGAACTAGGTGGAAATGACTGAAGAAAGTCTAGTGAAGAAACAGGTCCCCCAGTACAGTCAGGAAAAGACAATTCCCACCACTGCCATGTGGCTACTAACAAGGTGGCTGAGAGCCAGGCAACCCAGGCTTAGGCCCAGCTTGCACATACTGCTTGTGAGACGCCGAGCAAGTGTCTGAGCCCCTCCACAACATAGCTTTCTTCCCCACAAAATGAAGAAAACAACACGCTACTCTGACAGGATCCTGAGAAGAAAATGAGCTGAACAGAAAGCAATTCTGACCCATACCTAGCACAGGGCTACGCGGTCACTGCAGGTCTCACTTCATCTCGGCTAGGGCGACCCTCATGTGACCTCCAATCACTGCCGACCATGAGATTGCTAGTGCCTAGGACAGCTGGTTCATGGGAGGGTCTGATCTGTCCAACAGCACCTTGTTTACCATAGAAAGGGTCCCAGTTGGGATGATACATTATGAAGTGCTCCACCCCTGACCAAACAAAACCCATGCATTATTCCTTCCTGCCTGTTTTCTTCCTGCTGCTCTCCTCAGTTAAATGTTTCCAACTCTTCTGTCTTCCTTTCCGATCTTCTGCATCCTTTACTGTCAACCTTTGAGAAGCACTAGTTTTTCTAACCCAAGTGAGCATTACAAGTTCCATTTTACATACATGTGTGTACATTCTGAATAGTTTCTCTGGTGTGAATAAACTATAATAGTACATAAGATCCTAATGATATAATTGACAGTGTGAAATAGGAAGAAAATGGCTAAAGGTATAGGAAAAATGGGAAGGGTAGGGGAAAGTTAATAAGGGAAAAGAAAAAAAATAGGAGAAAATGAAAACATGGAAATGAAGTGTTTGTAAAGGGGGAGGGGGTGAAGGGAGGGCAGGGACAAGGGGAAAAAAATGAGAATCAAGACCTGTCGTGTAGAGGTACAAGATCCCAACAATGAATGTAACTGTACTGTATACCTAAAATGTACCAATAAACTTGATGAGGAAAAAGAAACAAAAACAAGTTCCATTTCACATGTGAAAGGAGGAAGAATGCTAAATGCAAAAATAAAGACAGAAGTAGTTTGAGATTCTTGCAATTAACGCAAACAGCTCAGAGGAAACAGCTCCACTGGGCTAGAATGAGTCTTTTACTGAAGCTCAGGTTTCTTTTTAAAGTCTCTAAAATAGGGAGAAGATACAATGGATATAACTTACATGACCTACACATATTTTTGTAGACTTGGATTATGTAAGTTTTACACATGATCTAAATAAGAAAGGGGTAGATGTTTACAATAGGAGGTGGCTTTGAATAAGGCGAAGAAAAGAGAGAAGGAAATGTCCAGTCATAAAAGTATAGTACTACAGGGAATATGAGCAGATAATAACGCCATGAATGTTAACTCTTGAAACACTACACATGAAAATACTGATGTAAAAAAATATTTTTTAAACAGCTCTGTAAGTGAATAACATATAATTTCTCAAGAGTAAAATACATTGCCCCTGAGATGACAAGCAAATGGCAACCAGTTCAACTCAGTCTCCTGAGCCCTGCTCTTGGACTCCTCTGCCACACCGCAAGATATGACCATCTAGTCAGCTCAGTGTGGCTGGACTTTAAGCGCTGAGGCCAGGTAACTTCTCACCCAAAGCAGGACACCAAGGACGAGGCACTCCAAGTAATGACAGGAGGGTGAGAAGGCGCTGTCTTGCCCTTCACGTGGGTCACAGCGAACCACTTACGACTGCTCTACTAACCCTTCCACCCCTAGAGAAGCTGTGTCTGTCTAGCTGGATTAAATAACTGATTTGAGCTTGCAAACGTTGACTAGTGTTGTTTATGCACATACACACAAAAATGAACAAAGGTCACGTTCCTTGTGACCCCTATACATACCCCGGACAGATCAAAGCCAGCAAGTCTCTGAAGGTGGTTCAAGTAACATCATCTGATGTGCGAATTTCAAGTCCAGTAGGTCCACTGAAAGACCATGACTTCCTTTTCTTTCCTGACAGTGAGTCGAGTATCATGTCCTGCCCATTCTATCTTATGGGTATCCAGATAGCACAATTAACCCCAAACCTGGCACCACTACCAGCCACCCACACCTAACTATCTTCCTCTCCATCTCTCTCCTAAAACAGCAATGGTCTGAGTGATCTTTCACCAACACTCATCACCACGGGGCCACCTGCTTCCAAAGCTTCCCTCACTGTCTCCCGTTTCCCGTGTGAGTGCAGCAAGCCTACTTCCTGATGGAGCAGCAAAAGTCAGGCAGGGGTTGGGAAGGGGCCAAGGACAGCTGCTAACCCGTCCTGGTCATCCTCAAGTATGAGAAGCCTTCACGTCAAAGCCTCTTACAACCCTATAATTTACTCGACTGTCAGTGAATTGTAGTCAACACAAGCAGTCACGGTTGTATTCAGTGCCAGCACTGTCCCTGATATGTAATAAAAGCTCAAGAATTTGCTGGAAACATAAACAAAAATGGATGTGTATAATTTAAAGATGTACCAACCACTTCCCTGTATAGGTCACAAAAAAGAAGGTCCGTTAATTTCTGAATGTAGCTTGAAAATCAATAGCTGTTGCATTTAATGGGAATGCATACCTTTTCAAACCAATCACTATCACAGTGAGATCTTTGTTTTTCCCCTAGGAAAATAAAGAGCTTTAAATGTCTAATGCAAAACACTATGTGGGCCTTATTTGGGAACATATAAATGGTCACTCATCAAGAAAATTCCTCAATATCACATTATAGGTGAGAATTCTAAGAACTGAACCACTGGGCAGATTAGCTGGGCCATAGGGTCCTAACCTGACAGGCTGCCCACCCAGGCTCCAACCATAAGGGAGCCAGGACAGGGTGTTTCACATACATCAAAGGAAGCCAGAGCTTTTCTGGCTGGCCTTGATGGGTCCCAGAAGCTTTGGAAACTTGAGGTCTATTCAACATACTGCATTTAGATAATACTAAAAAGTGGTGTCAAAATTATTTTTTTTCTGGATTTTAAAATAAAGACACAAAGCTCATACAGTACATAGTGAAATCATACAATATGTCATTGCCCAGATGTCAAGACTTATTACTTCACAATTTCTTCCTAGACATTGTTTTCAGAATTCAATGACTTATACAATACTCTTTAACATATACGTAGCTCTAACATGTTCATGTTCAAGCAGAGTTCTGCAGGGTAAGTGTGCTTCACAATGTTACTGACTTGCACAAGGGATCTCTTGAAAAGATGCTAATAAAGATTTTTTTTTTTTTTCAAAAACATAAAATGGACAAAGTCCTTATACAGCTCAGCTGCTAGATGGCAATAAAACTGAATTTCTGTCTAGTTTAGGTTGACAATGGAAAAGTCAGAAGTTAAGGGTAGATAAACTTCCCTTTGTCCCTCTCTTCCTGAGAAACTTTCAAATGTTGAAAATCAATTCCTTTTGTCCCCTTGTTATTCATCTGCTACACATTAAATAGAAACTCTGGGCATTGAGTGATTCCCGCAGTGTCTTTCATCTACAGAAAAGCCTGGTACAAATTAAATTCTGACTCTCCCTCACAAATTATAGATATGTATTGCAGCAGACCACTGATTTATCAGTTCATGCTTACAAGTTCAGCTTTGTGAGAGTCACTAATTGTAGCCTTTTATCCAAAGTTTCTTTGGGGTTGACAGCTGTGATGCTGCATTAATTAATTAATGTGGGGCATATTTATGCGGATCTGATTTCCTAGGCCATATTTTCAAAAAGGATTCTGCTACGTTTTACTTATGTACTTCCCAGATCCTTGAATCATTTGGCCTATTTGTGAGAGCATGTGTGTGAATTAATATACCAGAATAATACGAAATGATATCACTTCTGACAGCAGCGTTATGTAAGAACCATCGTGATGGTTATGCTAAATGGGGTGGGAATACAGGGTGCACACAAAATCTTTAAGAATTATTTGGTTGATATAAAAATGTTTTTACAACGGGACTTGAGGACAGGGAGCTGAAGAAGTTTATTTGATCCCTGGCACGCACACGTCTTCGGAGACCATAGCCTATCACAGCCCTCCTGTCAGAAGGGAGCCCAGAATATCCGCACGCATGTGACACACAGAGCCACGCCTTTCAACAGTGCTGCAAAGTTGTAAGAATTTCACACCCATCTATTTTCAAGGAATACACCAAACACCTATTTAGTCTAAAGGTTTTCTTGTAGGTCTTCAATGATGAAAATGTGATTAGCTCTTCATCAATTCTACAAGCGCCTCGACTTCTCCACACTGCCCTGCATTTGTCCCGCTGTGAACCGTCGCCGCCTGGGATGAAGAGCACTCCGGTTATGGAAGCCACCCTGCTCCCTCGGGAGCCGCCTCACCTCGCTCGAGTCCTCCTGCTGATTGATGACGGCCAGCGCGTCCTCCGCCGCCTGCCGCTTGGCCTCGGCCACGGTGCGCTCCATCTTGGCGCGCTCGGTCGTGATCATGTCGTGGGCTTTCCGCTCTGCCTCCGACACGGCCTTCTGCAGCTCAGTCATCGCCTGGCGCTTCACCTCGTTCACGGCCTCCTCTGTGGGCGGTCAGGCCGGCCGAGCGGACAGAGAACAGCCGCATTAGTGCAGGCCTTGGACGTGGTAACCCCTAACAATCTGATGGAGTGGGCAGGCCTCTCGACCACATTACTGTGCAGTTCTGGCTGTCTGAAAAAACTAGCAATCTTTGAAATTCACTTAGGAAAGCAAAGAGTGGAATTTTTCTTTACGCTGGGCGTGGTGGTGCACGCCTGTAATCCCAGCATTCGGGTGGCCGAGGCAGAAGGACCACTGTGAGCTCGAGGCCAGCCTGGGCTATGTAGCAAGTTAAAGCCAAACATAGTGAGACCCTGTCTCAAAAAGAATTTTTTGTTAACTTGCACTTCTGAAAAAAAAAAAAATATATCATTCCTCTCACTTTCCTACCAAGCTAGTGTCTGTAGAAATGATTCTGAGACCACTGAAAGAGCACGATTATTCACAAGAAATGTCTGGGCCGTTACGACACATGAAGACAGAGTCCCACAACACAGGCAACATGAACCCAGGAAGTCTGTGGATAAAACAATATGCAGAAAATAGGAAGCAGTATATTTTACATGTACACAGCTATGAGTTCAAGCCATTATTAAAAAAAAAAAAAATGCAAGCCAGGTGTGATGATGCATGCCTGTAATCCCAGCACTTCTTAGGAAGCAGTATATTTTACATGTACACAGCTATGAGTTCAAGCCATTATTAAAAAAAAAAAAATGCAAGCCAGGTGTGATGATGCATGCCTGTAATCCCAGCACTTGGGAGGCTGAGGCAGGAGGATCACTGTGAGTTCCAGAGCAGCCTGGGCTACATAGTGAGTTCCAGGTCAGCCTCAACTACATAGTGAGACCCTGTCTCAAAACAAACAAACAAACAAACAAAAGAAAAAACCAACCTAAAAAATGCAGGACAAGAGTTAAAAGGAAACTCAGCAAGTAACACAGATTTTTATGGTAAAACTAATGATGAAATAAGACGATCTAGTTTTGCTTTTTCTGAAGTCACTTTCTGAGAAATACGGACTTATAATTTAATTACCCAAGGGAGAGGCTTTTAACATACTCTAAGGTCTAAGTTTTAAGCCACTGTCCTTTGACTTCACCAAAGGCATAGAAGAGTCCTGGATGACCATTACTCTGGATAAAAGCAACAGCCATCTACCGCTGGCCAACATGGTCGGCCCTGACTGCAAATCCGCCAGGTGTCCAATGAGCTTATTTTTGGCTGCAGTAAGGGCACAAAGACTCAACTAATGTACAACATAAGATTGACAACTAAAACAAGTAATTTCCATTTTAAAAAATTAACTCTTCTAATTAACAAGGGAAAATATCCTCCCCCTGAATTAGTTTATCTAATTTTCATCTTTATTCAAAGCAAAATGACAATGATTAATTGAAAATTTAATAAGCAGTAATTATTAACTTGGCAAACCTAGTACCAATTAACACTCTATTAAAACTAATTATGACATGTTTCATTCAAGTGTTTGCACTTAATTGTTTCACCCACTTAAAAAGCACCTTAATTAAATGTTCTGTTTAATTAAAAACATAGATTCCTAATAAAAATGTTTTACTGTAGATTAAAAATGTAAGAAATGCATGTATTCCTATGGTTTCTTGAATTCCTATGGTTTAGTTCACACATCCACACATAGTCTACACTTTAGGATCGTCAGCAGGTCTCTTGCAGAAACAATTCACTGTCATGATTTTTGTGGCCTGTCACTTCAGGAGCATTATTCCTAAAGAACATTTGTTTGCAATTACTGTCTGCTGGGTTTTACCAAGGAAAATATAAAGGAATGACCCAGACTGGAAATATTAACTAAAAATGTAAAGCCTTTGTTGGCTGCTTCAAGTCATGCATTTAAAATCTGGATAGAATCAAGGTATTGCAGACTGAGTTTACAGCGCCTTCTTCACCAGGGGGCCAAAGATGCCTTTATTACCCTATCATAAATGACTCAGGGCACCAGGGAAGTACTGCCCTTCTAACTATACAGCCAGGGTCTAATTTAGTTTGAATATTCAAGGTGAATTAAAATTCTATCTAAGTGGTAATACAGGACAATAATTTTTGCTTACGATCAAAGCTGTAGCTTGACTAATTGTATATGCAAATCAGGCAATTTATATTTAAATTATGCATTCCTATTCTAATCCCACAGGCATATACAGATCAGCAAACAGAATTGGTAGGACATTTGCAAGGTGCTTGAATATTTATTACCAACTGCAAACATTCTCTGATCGTCTGAAAAGAAATATATTGAAGAAAACATTCAGTTGCAATTTTAAAACCATCTTTATGTTAGATTTTTTTTTCCTAGTTTTATAAACATCCTTTGTAACTTCTGAATGCACATGTTATGTTTGCTGTTACTTAAAAGGAACACTACTTTTAGGGAAAAACTGATGTGTTCAATATTTGTTGGGCTTTCTAGTCTTTAATATTTATATGTTGTTAAATTTTATCATTGGAACAAAATTTGCATAGAATCTATACATAAAATATCAATATTCATGTCTCGGCTTTGATACCTACTATGGTTATGCAAATGTATCCCTGTTTTTAGGAAAAACACCCTAAAATGTTTAATAAAGACATAGCATTCTGGAAATTGCTCTCAAATACTAGGGAGAAATTTGTGTGTATGTGAGAATATAAAATATATACCTTTCTATGATCAGAGAAAAAAATGAGAAGAATTTAAAAAAACAGAGGCTATTAAAACAAATACGGTGAAATGGGAGAGCCTAGAAGAAAGCTACAAATGAATTTTTTAGGTTTTCAAAACTTGTATGCAACTCTGAAATAACTTCAAAATAAAATAGTGCAGAAAACTGTATGACATAATGTTAGGCAGTGTATACTTTTGGCAATTATAATTTTCTGTGAAAAACAAGTGCCATGGTTATACTGTTTCGTTGGAGTTCTACCATGCTGGTATTTTTAAAATGCCTTAGTCATCTTTTGCCACAAAGCTAATGTAGAGTACACTTCCATTGCAAAGTCAGACTTTTGAGGTTTCTTCTTTTTTGTTGGCTTTGCTCACGGCCAATTTCAGAATACAGGGGAGGAAAGCCTCCCCACTGTAACAGGCTGCTGATCTCAGGTGTCTCTTTCTGTCACTGGTGCTCCCACCACCGCGTAGGGCTTGACATTGTCAATGCCAGAAATGCCTTGGAGGAAGTCTACACAGGTCAATGTGATGAGCAACTGTTAGAGACTTCCAGGTAAAGCTGTCTGTCAGTACTTTGGGGATATATTTAATACTGATTAAAATGCAGCATCCACCATAGAAAACTTCCCAAAATGTTCTGATGCAGATGATCAGAGACACAGCCATAAAGAGAGTATGAATTTAATCTATACAGCACTCAATCATATTTCAGGATGACAACCTTAAATACATGGCAGATGCAACTGAAAATTAATTCAAACATTTCTTTGGTGGTGTTTAATCCTTCCTATAGACTATTTGGACCCACCAGAAATAAGTGTTCTTCTTTCACTACCTTCTAAGTCCCCCAAACCTAAAGTTTAGGTTCCAAAATCCACAAATCAGACAGTGAAGAAAAATAATGGTGGATTCAACAGATTATAGTATGTTGAGTAGGAAAAAAATTTATTAAGTGGAAAATACACAGGGCAGTTTTAAATCTGCTTTCAATTGCTTACCACTTAAGGTAGGATTTCCTTTGTGCTTAGCTATTCAATTTGACTTTCCAACAAAGGTGGTATATTCAGAAAAATCTGCTCTCACTTAATAACAGTCCAAGAAAGAATTGAGTAGATAATAGCACAGAAGGAATGTGGATCACACAAGACCTCACTGCCAATTTTCCTTTAAGAACTATCAAGGATTTAACTTAAATACAGGTACGTAAGGGAAACGGAGAAAGACCCCCCTCCTTTGACATAAAAAGTCATCCTTCTGTTGTCCAAAATGACAATCCTTTGTACTTTTTATTGAAATACAATGTACTAAAAGCTTAAAAAGGGAGAAGAAAATGGTCAGAAAGATGTAGCAACTCTTACAGCTAAGTAACACCCAGAATGTTTTGAACAGCTTGCAAAAAATGACATGACTATCATAAATTAGGTAATACCAGAGAGGTGTGCAACATGTCCATTTCAATAAAGTGAATTGACCTATATAATTTGCATTCTGGACATGCATGAAAGCTTTGTGATTCTTAAATCTAAGCTATTAAATTTAAGAATACTACAGATTTTAAAGCTTTTATGAGACAGGCTTTTGTTTTGTAGTTCAAACTGTCCTTGAACTCACTATGTTGAATTCATAGCCATCCTCCTGCCTCAGCCTCCAGAGGGCTGGGATTACAGGCATGCATCACCACATTCGGCAATAATTTGAAGATTATTACTCTTACAAAAAGCCAGCGTTTCTTAGAAATATCTATAAAAATTCTTGGATATGAAACAAATACCCTCCCACCTGGGGGATGGCGAAGACACTGGTGCCCAATAAAAGGAGCCTAGGATCCAGACTCCTAGGCTTTCAGGTCCGATGCCCCCTACCACCCACAGTAGCTGTCTACCCTCTATCTTTTCCAACTTTTTTTTTTCCAAATAAACTTTGTTATACTAAAGAAAATAAATAAAAAGATACAAGCAACCAGAGATTCAGCAAGTTTCACAGAACATGGCTGAGTCAAATCAAAACCCAAAGAGAAAATTTTTGCACAAAACAATAACAAAAAGCTTTCTCCCTGTCTCTTTCATTGGTGCTGCCAGCCCTGTACTCATCTGAGTGCAGAAATAGCACTGCCCAGTTTCCCAACTCAAATAGAAAAAATGCCTTAATACTTGGCATTAGAGCAGCTCCAAGCCACAGTATGTTTTTCATGCTCTCTTTAACTCTTGACACAGGCTTATGCTTTATCTCCTGAGTTGGGCTTTATGCAGGCTTTTGCTCAGCTGGTGTCTCACCAAGAATCTGCAGATTTGAACTTCTTTAAGTCCAAACAACAAGCAGATGGGTCAAGAGCTTCTACTGTGATGTACAGAAAAATACCTCTTATAACACAAAGCAAGCAGTATATATGGAAAATAAAAGTAGAAGCTTAGCAACTTTGTCTTTTAAGTTAAAGTAATTTCACTCTGACCACTAAGTATTGATCAACACAAATCAATTTTGTAAGTTGACTGTCACCGAAAACTCCTTAACAAGTCAACCAGATTTGACGTGATCTCTTTAAAGAATGCAAAAAATGCTGAAGTATGCAATTTGATTTCTAAAACACTAGGGGATTTTTATTAAAGAAAAACTGCATGCAAGTTAAGACCTCCTATTTCATCCTGAAACCATTGTAGCCCCTGAAAAAGAGATTTAGAAAGGAAATACTGCCGGCCTTTCAATTTTAATGGCAATAGCAGATGCTACTAAAATAAAAACTATTTCATGTTTTAATCAAGCCTGGTTTAAGAACATGGATGAAGGTTTTTCTATTTTATTTTTTGTTTTGTGTTGTGGAGTTTTTGTTTTGTTTTGTTTTTGCTATTGTTGTTAGCACTAAAGTCCTTTCTTGTCATTCTTCACATCACTGCATTAACAACTGCACACAGCTGCCAGAACACCAAACTTGTGTTTTGAAACAATTCTTACCAGCTTTCTTCCAGATCTCCTCTGGCACATATCCAGACGCGGGCCTGTGAAGGAATTCCCGATGCGCGTCTAGGAAGGAGGAGGGGCAGGGGGAGGAGAGAAGAAAAGCACCATCAGCATCCTGGAGTCCTTATTCACAGCAAAGCAAGCAATGCCCCCCTCTTGGCTGAGCAACTTTAAAAGGCTGAACTTTTTACAAAAATTGCACGGCCAGTCACTACAGCCCATGGAAAACAGAAGGTCACCGGTCTAAACGCCTCCTGGTATGCTCAAATCCAAGGCAATTTGTCATTAAACAGTACGAAATTTGGGAACACACTTCCCACCGCTCTTCTCTCACTGGGGGACTTTCTACAGCTATGCTTTGTGATGTTAAAGACGCTAAAATTATATCTGATACTTTTCAAGACTCAGACTGGTAGTTAAGAAATTGAACGTAAGGGTAACCGAATGTAAGGGTAAATCAGAGCCCTGATTCTACCACTTGTCTATACATAGTGAGTCTGCTCGGTGGCGAACCCGTTCTCACACTTGATTATCTCCTAAGAATCTCACTGAGCATTAAAATTTCTCAGGTGAGTTAGTTCATGCAGATTTGACACGAGTAGAAGCAAAAAAACCCTTACTAGAATGGATTCACAGACATTCGCTTGGTCAAATGGAATTCAGCATGTGCTCTCCAGAAAAAGCAATAGAGGTTCACATTAAATGTGGTTATGATGTTGTCAGATTTTAAAGTTTGAGGAAACTAAAAACTAAGTGACATAAGAATGCAAACTTACAAAATAAAATGTTCACTGAAATGGCGTGAACATTTATGCTTTATATATGCTTGAAAATGAACTGAGTTACATGGTGCTCTCTAGCTAAAATATGCACTGCACGTCTTCCCTACTGGACTCCTGCATTTTTCAATGAAAACTACACACTTAGAAGTCTCTGGAATAAAATAATCAACTGAACTTTTACAAAATATAGTTATTCAACCCATGATAAATTTCAGGTAGAAATGAAATTTTCTCTACATGTACATGCAATACTAAGTACGCTGATTCTTTAACAAAATATGGAAGGTCAAAAGAAATGCAGCCCAGTTCCTCTACGTAATGTAGCTACAGAGTATCAGAAAGAAAAGCACAATTAAGGTGCAGCTGACTGTATGCCATTACATCTGACTGCTTTAGATACACGTGAGTGCTGTGAATCTTCACAGGGTACACGGATCACCCATGGCCGCAGCACCTGCTGCCCCAACTGAGTCAGCAGAGGTTCTACACAGTTCGGTGGAGGACACACAGGGTCTCTGCAGAGTCTCTGCGGTGTCCCTTTAAGAGTCAAACCATTTCAAACAAAGTTTTTCCTTACAAGTTTACATTATGATCTCGTGACTACTTAAGAAGCAAATGGATTGGAAATATCCACAACTTGTCAGAGGCAATTCATTTCCATAAAGAAAATGACAAAATGCAAGACTTCTTCCCTAAAGAAATTTCCCTTCTTTTTGTTTTGAGACAGCGTCTCATCATATAGTTTAAGATGATCACTATGTAGTCCACTTTGGCCTCAAAGTTTTGGCAGTCCTCCTGCCTCTGCTTCCCAAATGCTGGGATTACAGGTGTGCGCTACCACACCTGGCTGAATTTCCAGTTTTAAAGAAAGCTAGATAAAACTTTTGAGTGCATACAGGACTTATAGGAAATATGATATAGCTAATTATGCTTTCAGGATCACCCTCCACATCACTGTATCTATTTCAAAGAAACAAAGAACAAATCCTAGCCTTGGGAGGCTGAGGGAGGAGGATCCCTGTGAGTTCAAGGGCAGCCTGCGCTAGTCGTGAGTTTGAGGCCCACCTGAACTGCACAGTGAGACTGTCTCAAAAACCTAAAAAAGAAAAGAAAGTAATAAAGTATAATAGGTTCATGTTTAGCCCTGTGACACAGTGAAATAGAGAGAGTAGTGACAACTGTTAAAGATGGAATACTGACTTTCATATAATTAATAAATTAGGTTAGAACAGATCTATGAAGTCTAGAGACAGAAAAACCTCCAAAGCAGCAACAAATTTTTTTTCATTTAGCAGGTTAAGGAAACATCGATAGTTTTTATTTTTTAAAATCGTTCTTTGGTAAATAGTCAAATGTTATAAGAAAGAGGAAAGTGGTTTTAAATTTCCAAAGATCATGCATGAGAGCTAAGTACTAGCCCCAGGAAATATAGGAATTAGTGCAGGAGCCCAGTGGATCTGAATCTTAGCTTTGTCAACTCCTAACTACAGTCTGAAAGTGCTGCCCGAGGGCTGAAGGTGGTCAGTTCTTCCTCCTACATGCGTGGCACTGCCATGCCCTAAACTTGCTATCCACCATCTTCATCATTATTATGACCACTGTTATTACACAGCACGATGTCTGGTATACCCCTCTTCTCACCAGTAACACTAAGGAAGTCCTGTAAACTTTTTTTTTTCCTTCTCCCAGGACTTAATCAAATAGCAGAAAACGTCAAAGAAAACAGAAGCACTGGAGAGGTTTGGACTAAACAATCCATCAAGTAATTTTTTAACTGCCAGGGTGTATGCCACTTGAGGATACAAATTATTTCGTTTTTTTTGTCCCCAGAAGCAAACTTCCTAAATGTTACCGAAGTCTCCTGAATGCTGCTGTCCTTATATTTACTAAATATTAACAGTCAGGGCTCAGTTGATCTTCTCTACCCCATGTACATCTCAAGGGCCCCCACACCACACTGGCTGCACCTCCCTCAGCTTCTTGACGACACGGGGCCGTCTCCACACAGACGTCACCTCACCCAGAAACGCAGAAGGAACACCAAAGCCAGTAAACAAAACAGATTTCTTAACCCTAATCTACTTCTACAACATCTTTCCCCAAAACAGCCAAAATATAAATAATAATATCCCCTCTTTTTATTTCAGAAAGCCTGATTTAAAAAAGAAAATCATTTGTATGTGTTTGGGATACATTACAATTACATTCACCTTAGGGAAACGGCACACACACATACTGCATCTTAATCATTTTACTTCCCTTCCTCTGCTCATCCTCCTGTCTCACCCCAACCCAGAGCCCCTTCCCCATCTCCATTTCTAAGTTACTAGGTCTCTGGCTAAACATCAGATCTAACCACGGAAAGAACAGAATAATCATGAGTAGGTGTCCTCCTCACAACCTGTTGGATTCCCCGATGAATACTAAAGCTATATGTGCAGAAAGCAAAGTGATACACTGATTTTTTTTTTTTTTGGATTAAGCAACAACAATATCAGAATAAGCAAAACTGAGCTTAAAAGACAAAAGAAAAGTTCTGCAGTTGGTAAATAGTGAGAACAAAAGACAACTCTTATAGGGCTTTGCTATTTTACGATACTTGCTAATCTAGACAAACCTATGCAAAACACCTTCAGGTTTTAAGACTTGAATTCTAAAGTGGTTAATTCGTAACTATTGACTTTTGTTTGGGTGGGTACTGGTGATCGAACTCAAGACCTTGTGCTTGAGAGGCAGGCATGGTGCCACTGAGCTAAATCCCCGGCCCCTTAACTATTTTAACCCTTAACCACCTATAAAATTGCAGTTGCTATAAAAATGTGTAGTTGTTCTAAATGTAATGATGTGAACAAACACAAGTGAGTCTACATCAGATGGCTTAAAAGTGAGACATACACACAGGTAGCTACTGAAAGGTAGAAAAATTATTACAGAGTCCAACATTGCTCGATTTGAGATGTAAATTGTTCAAAAGTGGATGGAAAAGGGGGAAGGGCACCTCCTTAATGTAACATATATCCAGCAAGAGAAGGGATGTAAGTAAGAAAAGTGAAAGGAAATGCAGGACATGGGAAAGAACAGTGTGTGAATGAGACAGAAGGTGCACTACACTTAGGACTGAATGGAGACCACTGGGTACTAGCTATGGTAAGGGCTGCCAGCACTGTACAGGCAGGGATGGGCTGAGACCCTGTGGAGAGCCCAGGTGACCTCTCATGACCCAGGACAGCAATGCTCAAAGCTTGGCATCAGCTCCGTGTGGCCTTCATCTTATAGTAGGCAGAATGGGGCTGTGACCGTAAAGGTATCTATTACCAAAAACACCGAAAGAAAGGAAAGGTCAAAGGGTATTTGTCTTCATAAGCGTGGACTTATTTTGGCTTTTTAAAGGATAATAAACTCAGAAATCTCAACACTATGTTTCAGAAGTCCAAACTCAACTTACAAGGAAGCAATTGCTTTGGGATTTCCATTATTAACAGTAAGCCTATCTAACATTCCCAGACCATCTCTTTATTTATTTCTTTTCTTTCTGACACAGGGTCTCAGGCTGGCCTTGAACTCACTATGTAGTCTAAGCTGGCCTCAAATTCACGGTGATCCTCCTGCCTCAGCCACCTGGGGTGTGTGCTACCACACCTGGGTCTATCTCCTTATTTTTAAAGGATGGAACATTATAATAGTCTCTCTGAATATAGCTAAGTAAAGTACACTTTTAAAAATACAGTAGGCATTTGGGTTATGAAGTCAGCTGAGCAGTCATGATGTTTCTTCGTACAATATAAATGAATCAAGTATATAACACTTCCAAGCTTTGACACAAGGTATATACCAAATAATCTGTTTGTGGTATTTATTCTCTGGTGTTTATAAGCTGAATGATTTTCCTTGGTTGGGGGGGTATTTTTTAATAGCCATATTATTTTGAATTACAGTCCTAAAGGTACCATAGATTTGGAATACTTAAAACAGAATTATTCTCTAATTTCTTTGTCCATTAAATAAAGTAGCAACCTAAAATTACTACTTAGAAGTATTTTCTAGATTAAAAAAATTTTAAACTGTTATAATTTCACAATTATTGATGGAAAAAAAAAAAAGCAAAAAAAGACCACTAGTTCAACTACTATTATTCTTTCAAGCTTGTCAGATCGTACACCAGGAATAAAAGTAGCACTTATATCACATCTCCTGTGTCATATCTCATATGCCTTCAGACCTACTGACTAACTTGACACTCACAGAGACGCCTGTGGGAAGATGCGCTATTCTACAGACGAG